ATTTTTAACCGACTATAATACGAACACTTCGTTGACGTTTGTGCGACGACTAAAACGCCTATTTAGTCATTTTCTCGTATATCTGGTTTAAAAGTTACAAATAACGTACGGTTAATCCGATAAACGTCCGATAAATATTAAAAATCAACTGTATTAATCGTTCAGCCAAAAAGGTATAACGTTCTTAATCGTTCGATAGCCGATTATCGTGCTCAAATTATTGTTCGATTAAATTTGGCAACGCTGAAAAATAATAAAAATATCGAACGTTCTCAATCGTGTTACCAAAAATAATGTTCTCAACCGTAACGTTCTCAATCGTATTTTACCGATACCCACTTACCCGCTTTTTTTTGAGTTGAGGCCACGACTGAAGATAGCATGGTTACATTACGGGTATATTATACATACTATAACACATTTATGTACCACAAATGTTCCCTCGAAATCACTTGATTTTACAGATCAATTTATTATTATCGATATTTAAATATATCGTTTTTAAAAATTTCGCCAAAAATCAAATCATTTCCGTAATATGAAATATGTACTAATATTTCTATTGACTGAGCAATAAATACTCATATTTTGCTTTAATGCTACATGTTAATGTAATGTGATGTGTTACTGATTTTATTTTAAATTTTTGAACATGTATATCTGTTTTATAGGTCTACATCTTACGACACATTTCAAACTATATTTGGTGTTCCCAAAAAATGAGGAAGAAAAAGGAAAATGCTTTGGGAATAGTCTTAAAAAAACACCTGTGATATTATATAAGTAACAATTTTTGAATAAGAAATCACCTATTGGTCCTATTGGTGACACTTGGCTGGAAATTAACGATATTTAGTGTCTGGATCTCAGTTATTGTTGTCGTTTTTTTTTTTTTTTTACAAGTCACGGCGCCAATTCCTTTTTGAACGGGTGTGAAATGATTGGTTCTAAACTTTTTTTGTCGAAACGTCTTTTGGCGAAAACGGGAATCGTACCTTTTTCATTTTTGGTGGAAAAGGCCTTATGTTGGAAACATGTAACCCTCCAAATTGATTATATTCATGAGAGGTGATGTTAGTTCAGTGACCCACACGATACTCGTACAGTGTACAGTATAGCAGCGAGTAGCAGAGAGGTCYTACTTGGTAAACTTTTTTTTTTAATCCTATTTGATTAGCATTAATTATGCTAGTTATAAGTTTCAAATAATTATTGTTTCAGTAAACTACAGCGGAAATTAATKTTACATCAATATTCAATAGTATATTGGTACATTATATATGAGATATTATGTTTATTGGTTCTACATAAAACAAATAATGTGATTGAATACAATTTAACACGGATAACTGTATAATATTAAATGTAAATATTAATTAATAGCTTAATTTATGAACTATGGTTGCTAATTTTATTTTCACACAGAGAATAGACTAGAAAAGAGTTCATAAGTCATAATTCGATGGACGAATAAAATAGGTTTTTAAAAAATCATTGACAAAAAATGTATATTATACATATGTAATGACATAATGCGTTATAAGAATATAAGATATAATTATGTAAATTACAATTAACCAAATTTAGCCTWTAGAYGTAAGATGTAACGATAACAGTCTATATTTTTAGGATATTTGCAACAGAGATTCCAGAACTTGCAACACCATGTTTAGCCAGCATCACGTTAGATAATTGTACCTATTTTTTATTACGGCATAGACAATCATAGTTGCAAATAAAGTTAGACAGCGAATAGAACATTTTAAATTCTTCGACGACATCTTGATTTCACATAAACATTAACAATAATCCATTACAGTGAAACCTCTAAATACCGAGTGCTTTCGGTCACTTAAATGTCGTCCGCTATTTAAAGGTGTCCGCTATCAAGAGGGGAAATACAGAGAGAACATATTTTGCCGTTCCCGAAATGCCATTTGTTATTTGGAGTTGTCCACTATTGAGAGATGTCCGTTAAACTGTATATATTTTTACGAAAATAATAAAGAAAATATCAATAACATCTCCATTCTATACATGTAGGTATTACACTGTCATTAAAAAAAAATTACATTTTATTTTGTGTGTTCCGTCTGTATAAATGTATAATAGGATATTATCTTTAGAATACCTATACTTTCATTACAACAGTAAAAGGAACACATGACATTTATGATCTGATTTTTTTATTTTTTTTTTTACCCATTGTACATTTTACAAAATAATGTTTTATTATTGATCGTGTTGTTTATAATGTTAATAATTCAAAATTGTATAATTCAAATTTACCTAAAGTTTAACTGATAAAATATAGTAGTTATATTAGTATATTCTTTATTTTATTGAATATATAAGAATTCCTTCCAAAGTCCATCCAAATAATGATTATATGATAATATAATGATTTTTGATTGCCATTTTTTTATTTTTTCTTACATGCAATTAAATTATATGTATTACTTTGCATGTTTTATTTAAAATGTCTCTAGATTCAATTTACGTAAATTTCAAAAATACTTGGRGCGCAGTTTACGATATACCTACCTGTTGTGGACGCAATTCGCCAATTTATAAATTAATTAAAATTTCTAATGAATAAAATTATAATAATTTGTATATCATTAAAACATAATCTGATAATATGCAAATCAATATAATATATATATATATATATATATAAGAAGAGCGTATGTCACTGAATAAAAACCATTAGTTATTTTTGTTGTATTCGCTAATGTGTAGATGCTATAAGACGTAAAAGAGTAGTACGTATCAATAAATGATTTTTTAGGTAACAAATGATTTTATTACTGTAATTTCTAGTAGGTAAATTTAATAGTGCGAAAATATATTTTTCTTTTTAATTTGAAATTAAGGTTTATAATTTATTAAGWCTAATATTAACAAAGATAGCATAATATATGGTTATTATTATTATTATTTTTTTTTTTATATATAGAACCATAATTTAAAACAGTGAATCACAGTGAATTTAAATTTACATTTTACAATGATTGAAATAATTGTTTATATTATCATTGTTGCTTTTATGGTGATGTGGTGTTATTTCAAATGGCATAACAGACGTTTTGAAAAATTGGCAGCTAGAATGCCGGGACCTTCAGGGTACCCGATAATTGGAGTAGGATATCAGTTTATTGGCTCGTCAGAACGTAAAAAAAAATGATAAAATATTTCTGAAGAAAAATTAAACGTTCTTCTATAATGTATATGTTTTRATATTCTTTAGAGATTATGAGCAAAATAATTGATTATGAGAAAGATTATAATCTTGAGCCATTTAGTGCATGGATTGGACMATATTTTATAGTTGTCATTGTTAAACCAGAAGACCTACAGGTAACTTCACTTTTTAAAATAATTAAGATATAATGCAATTTGGTTTTGAAAAACAGTTAGATATTATTAGAATTTAGTTTATAATGTAATCTCCARGATAATAATAACGAAGTTTGGCATAATTATATTTTATATTGAAACTATTATATATTCTAGTAAAACTTTTTGTGATTTCACTTTTATAATAATTATTATAAGCATTGATATGTACRAAACCCAAATTTAAAAATACTTCTCTTAATTACTTGAAAGTATCAAGAAATACGTCATAATTAGTTAGTTTTTTTGATTGTATATTTATTTTGAAAATGGATACCATAAAAWTTTTTAGATTATCTTAAATAGTTCAAAGTCTCTTCAGAAAGGCCATTTGTACGAATTTTTCAAGAATATTGCAGGTGAAGGTTTATTTACTGCACCAGGTAAGTTTAATACAACATTTTAAACAATTTGTTCTTCTATAAAGCAAAAATAAATTAATTTTTAATGAAAATTGGGATATCCCGAGTGCATCTCGTTTTTAATTTTTTCTTTTTTTATAATCTGAGTGCGTCCACAGTCTTATCGATGTTTTATTTTGAATGGCCTGAGTGCCTCCTCGAATATTTTCTTTTTCTATATGGGCTGAAATAAGTAGAAGTTCTGAAATAAGAATAAATACTTGTTTAAGTTGTCATCATAAGTACAGTAAAATTTATCATTTTATACACATCATCCAGATATATAAACATTTAAAAACAAACACCAGTCTAAATAGATATACTAAAAAATAAATAAAAACATTTTTCTTAAATAWATAAACACCCAAATTCAAGGGTGAAAATTAAAAGTTAAAATAAAATATATTATCATAAATAAGAATCACAAAATATTGTTGGAGTATAAKCCAGTTCACCTCCTCGTGATGTGGTAGGTTGACTCTAAATGGACTGGGACACACTAAGGCTATGTCAAAAATATGACCTTTTTTGCGGACACACTTGGGAAACTCCCATGAAAACAAGTAAAAGTATTTTCTAGGTATAATATTTTTGATTAAAATTCAAAATTATTGAAAACGATTATAGTTGACAAATGGCGGAGACATCGTCGCATGATATCTCCTTTGTTTAATGGCAAACTTTTGGAACAATTTTTCCCAGTATTTATYGAGAAAAACGAAATACTTGTTAAGAGTGTCGCGAAACAATTAAATGAAACACACGCATTCGATCTCTGGGACTATATTGCACCAGCTGCACTTGATACTATTTGTCGTACGTAGATAATATTTTAAACTTTGATATTGGAGKTAATTATCTAGTTGCTAACGGATATTTTATTGTTATTAGAAAACGCCATGGGTTACAATCTTGACACCCAATCAAAAACAAAAGAATGTGAATTTTCCGAAGCAATATTAAAGTAATATATTATTGTGAAAAGTCCTCAGGACTTGAATAATATATCATATTAATAAATTATAATAATATAATAAAAAAATAAAATATAAATACATATACATATAATATAATATATAACCATAATAATAATAATATCTGCAATGTGTTTACTATAAAACATGATAACCATTCAGTACGATTTYCGATTTCGTATATGCAACTCAAAATAAATTATTTTTTTATAAGTAGCCATACTGAATATTTTATCTTGTAGATAGATCTTACACGTCTATCTTTCGTCGCTTTAATATCGAAACTATAAATCAAGTAAATGTATTTTTAGAGCATCAGATTTAGACGGGATGCGAATTTACAAACCATGGTTATATCCAAATGTCGTGTTTTCAATTTATTTATTACTCACTGGTCAGCAAAGAGTCTTCGAAACAGTGGAAACATTTTCATTACAAGTATGTCACGTATTCATACCTAAAGATTTCAAAAACCACTAAATAATCACTAATGACCGTATATTAACATGCATGTTTTGCATAACGTAGCGACGAATAACGATGGAATGACTATAATAAATATATATAATGAATTGTGTATTATATTTGGGGCCAAGTAGAAAATTGGTTATCTAAAAATATACCTGGAGTCTAATAGAATTTAGATTTAAGTATAGGTTTTATTAATATTGAATACAAACTTTACGATTGCCGTTTAATTTACACACGATAAATTATTGAACTATTATCTATTAATTACAAACAAATAATTATTATGATTAGACTACAATAAAACACTAATCTGACACTAATGGTCTAGTGGGTACTAATCAGGACGGTGACGTAAAATTTGCGAAAAGTTGTTTGAAGATAACTAAATAACTTGTTTTTACCTAWACATAAGTGTATTTATTATTTTTAGGTAATCAATAAAAAGAAAGAGGAATTTGACCTGAGAAAAAAAGCAATTGATGCTAAAACAAACGTTAACAACAACAATGGTATGTTATTTTTAAATCRTTTATTTAAATCATTATTGTGTTAATATAGCTATTACAAGTTTTATAACACCAGTATTTAATTTATATATTTATTATAAACGTCAGAGTCGTATAGCAAAAAAACAAAAATTCTAACTAATATGTACTCGTATTAATGTTTAGAAAATCAATCAAAACTATTTTTGGACACATTATTTGAACTGAACAATAATGGTGGAAACTTTTCAGATTCTGATATTCGCGACGAGGTTGTAACCATGTTGATAGGGGTTAATATATCTATCATTTTATTTAAATTATACAACTTTCATATGAAATATGTTTTGAATAAAATATATAAACGTAATTACAGGGTAGTGAAACCAGTGCAATTACAGTCTGTTTTTGTCTTTTGATATTAGCCATAGAACAAGAAATCCAAGTAAATATAATATATTATAATAACTAAAATAAAAAATGTCCTAGAAGTYGTTGTGATGCTTATTAAACATTAAATGTTTACATCATACAGACTAATAACACTATACACTAATGTTAAATAAGTACGCAAAAAAATAAATATTTTTTACAGACAGTTTTATGTATTTGGTTTTCATTTAAATGAAAATTTTAAACAATGATCAAAGTTAAAAAATGATCAATAAAAAAAAAATTAATGATACCTATACCAAACTATTTTGTTGATCAATTGAATTTATATTTTAGAATAAAGTATACGACGAAATTTACGATATATTTGGTGAAAGTGACCAAACAATCACTATTGAAGACACTACTAGACTTGTGTATTTAGAACAAGTGATAAAAGAAACTCTTCGGATATACCCTGTAGGGCCAATGTTACTGAGAGAAGTTCAAGAAGATCTTAAAATATGTGAGTAAATTTAGGCATGTACTATTTGCAATGAACCTATAAATTAATATTAAATAAACTATGTTTTAGTTTCAAGTGATTATGTACTACCTAAAGGAACAACGTGTGTTATAAGCCCAATAGGAACACATCATAGTCCTGATTTGTACCCAAATCCTTGGACTTTTAACCCTGAAAACTTCAACCCAGAAAATGTCGCTAAACGTCATAGATATAGCTTCATTCCTTTTAKTGGTGGTCCAAGAGGTTGCATAGGTATAAAAATAATTTAAAAAATCATAATTTTGTAATAAAAAATCAATATAATATTGTAATATTATTGTACTTAAATTTAAACCATAGGATCCAAATATGCCATGTTGTCGATGAAAGTTACTGTGTCAACGTTTTTACGAAATTTTAGCGTACATACAGATATCAAATTAACAGACATAAAGTTAAAATTAGGTTTGCTGATGAGAAGTGTTGATGGTTATCCTGTTACGATTCGACCACGAGACAAAAGACCAACATTTGAGCGAAATCAGCGTCCACTAGAATAATGGCCAATTGGTTAATCAGATTAAATTATTTTTTATATGACAGTGTTAGATATCAATATATTAATGTGTGGCTTGGTAAGGCACGGTCGTACGCTCAATCTGCGGAAACGCACTGAGCGTACGTACCGGCCGCAGTTGCTAGCTCCCGGATGGGTGACCACCCGGGATTTTTAGCAACATATCCTTGCCACACTTACACAAACACGTGTTACAACCCTACCCAATTAAAAACCTACAAACAAACATACAAAAATAATCCCTACCGTACCACCCCACACCTAATGGCCTATGTTGCCGCGGGTTCTCCTAACAAAAAAAAAAAAATATATATTAATGTATATCGTAAGTTTTTGAATACAAGACATGATATTTTGTGCTGCTATGTTGAGATTATATATAAGTTTTACTGCTCAGTGCTACAGTATTTTTCTTCACCTCCGTGATAACATAAATACAACTTTTTTTTTAAATTTTTCCAATCAAATTAAAGTTAAATATTGAATATTATAGAAATATCCTATCATTCAATTATTATAAACCATATTCTTGCTTAGGAGTTAAATATGGTGTAAAAAATTACCATTTTATAAACCATTTTCATTTTTGTATATTTATTTTATTTATAATTATTTAAATAACATATTTATCTATTTATAGATAATTATTGTGTTAAGTTATTTCAGTATAGGTATATATTTGATAATAATTAAGTATTTATAATGATCACTTGTAGAGTTTATTGATGGAAATTCAATTTTAGTGGTACCAGACAACTTTCTAAACAAAATATACAGAAATATAAATAATGGAACAGTATTTTTTTTTTTGGAAACACATTTTTTCGAATGCTGAGTTTATTGTAACTGTATTTTTTTAGAAAAATAATTTATCTTAAATTTTTTATTGAACCACTATTTTACCAGATTCTTCCGAAAATGATTTTTATTTAGTGACGTATAACAATCAGATACGAAAGTGACAGGAATTTTAAATTCAGGAAAAGTAGTATCCATAGACAAATGTACCTCATTTTTTATAATTTCTAATTTTAAAACTAACTGAAGTTTAAAAACGGTAGTTTTGTTTTTTAGTTTTTTTTTTTTACATACATTTTGTAGCTCTATGACTTTGATTTTTGTTTCACAAATTTTATTATAATTTGATCGTTTTTCAATATTTGTAGAACACATAATATTTACATTTTTCGGATGTTATTATGCTGATTCCATAATTAATTGCAGTTTTCATGTTATTGCATATGTAATATAAAATGTTTAAGAATACTAAGGTAGTAAGGTGTTTTTATAAATATCACAATAACTCTGTCACCATAAATACATAAATATTCATAGTTATATTCAATTGCACTCTGGGCTAACAAGTGGGAAATAAAAATAATTGAAGAGAAATCAGTCTAGATAAATTTCAGCTCAATGAATGTCTCCAGCTTCAGATCAATAAAAATCCAGTTTCCTTCCAATTCTCAATAAAACATTTAAGTTTAATTTTTGAAATGTTATACTCCCTTGGAGTCACCATTTAAATGTAAACAGCCGACAGACCAATATTATAAAAAACACTACTTAAATCCAAAATGCACCTCCACAACAAATTCCTACTCTATAAAACTATTACAAGACCAATTTGATCTTAATGTATTCAAATTTGGTAGTTTTTTAATCCTTTCAGTCTGTACGGGCTGGGAACAAGACAATATATAATAGTCCGCGACGCCCAGTCACCAAAATATACTTCGTGCGCACTACACACACCGACCCACCCGGTTATATATAGTGTATATAGGTATTGGATATTCGATAGAGGTGGAAGAGTTCGCCAAGCAAGACTATCGAATRCTAGTGTGAGGTGGTGTGTGTGTTATCAAATTACGGCCTTTTTTTCCCAACAACTAAATGTGTGATAATATGAATAGTACCTAATAAATAAACAATAATAAAACTCACATAATTGCCGGTGCTCGTGCTCTGCTGTCCAGCTGCTACCTAGCTATAATAATAATATATAACAATAATGACACTAAACAAATATAATAAAAAAAGTAGAGAAACGAATTACAACAAAAATAATAAAAAGTGGCGATTCGAGCACACTCGATATACCTATAATAATACGACGATCCGCGTATGTCAAAATGCAATTATATAATGTTTCACGTCCTTAGTATAATACGATTAATAATATAATAATAATAATAATAATAAAAGCGAATATTCGCGTCGCATACAAAAATTATACAACATCGGCGATTCGCGTCCACAAACTATAATAATACGATTTGGCGATTTGCGCACTCAAAAGAAATAACACTAATATATTATAAGAAAAAAGTGGCGATTCGCGCACACAAATACAATTACACAATATACACGTCGCCAAAGACGAAACGGAACTGCGTGGAAGTTTTTTTGCAACTAAACCGATGTGAATAATGTAATATAATAATATAGGCCGGCAATTAGACGGCGGCTGATAGTGCGTCGGTGCGTATTTTAAACATATTTTATAATAACTCACGGAGACAATATAATAATTAGACAAAAATAAAATATAAAAATAATGGCAGTAATGTGCGCGTGAGTGTGTCAATCGATGGTGGTGTTGGTGATATGAAGGAGACACAGTCCTCATTAGTCTTAGGCTAATAACAGAAACTCTTTGGATTACTACAAGCAAATCATACCACAAAGAATTCCAACTACTCACAGTCTCCAAACATTCCAAAAGATTTCACGTTGAATTGTCGAAACTGTCGAAACATTTGATTCCCCTCACTAAAAAAAACATGTCCACCATTTCTCGTTGAACGTTAAACGTTACACGTTTATGTTCATCGTCATCTTAGACGTAGATGGCCCAGAGGTTTACTCTTAACTTTAATAAAAAAATTAAGAAAGCATTTTATTAAATTATTTCATTATTAAGAGCCGTTAGGGAATAGTTTCTTCAAAAATTATTCATGGGAAAATTGTATGATTTACCATATACCAAATGTGCTAACCGTTTTAGTTAACTGTTGTAACTATCTAGAATATCATCCGTATAATATTATATTTGGGCATAACATTTTGTTTTTTATCACATTGAATAATAATTATAATAAGTAGATACATAAATCACTATAATATCAGGTGTTAACAGGAAAGGATCGGATTAATAATATTACAAGGAACATCATAATATTATCTAATTTTGCATCAGCATAGCTAGTATCATGGTTGTATGCTAATACGATGACGAGCATAATAAATGTACTTGTGGCACAGCCAGCGAGTGATGGATTCAATGTATATAATTATATTTTATAGTGGCACCATTTTACAAACAAACGAACCGTGATTTAAAACGATTCACGATATCTGTTGACTTTATATCAAACTAATTATTAATTAATAAGAAAAAAAAAATACCAAAAATACCTAATCAAAACCCATTGTTATTACACTTAACAGCCAATGCTCTAGGGCTATGTATAAGATACTACTGATACTAGTAATTAATTGTATCTATTATAATAAAATAAAACACTAAAATACAAAATAAATATTTAACATAATATACAAGCAAATAGTTTTAAAATTAACATTAAAACAATTAATTATAATCATTCAATAAAATTTATTTTTACACAAATAAGAAAACAACTTATGCAAAAAACATAAAATATCTGTAGAACAATATGGTGGTACGAAATCAAAACATAAATAACTTATACATGGTTAAAATGTTCAAAATAACAGCATTAATACATTTTAAGCACAATGATACATTTTTAAGACTCAATATTTTTTTCTATTTATATTAGAATTCCAAATGTATACAGAATTATAATAATCTCAACAATTTTCAAATTTTTGTAGTTAGAAAAATTATAAAATATTTAATTTTTAGCTATAAAGATTGAAAATTTAAAACAAGGTTTCTCATAAATAGTTCATATTGTAACCGAAAATATAAAAACTTATTAACTAATTAATTTTTTTAGAAAGTATGAGATCAAAAATGTTTGTATGTAATGATTATTGAATTAAAATTACACAACAGATGTTGTGTTGTATAGTTATGTTTGATAATAAACAAGACATACCTACCTTAATTTTTAACAACTGATTGGTATTTAACAAACAAATATCAGAAAATATACTTAATAATGAAATATAACAAAATTATCATATTTATCATTGATAAATTATCAATAATTGCGCATTATTCTTGATGGTTATAATTTCGTTTACATGTCGGTCTTTTGTCTCGTGGTCGAATCGTAACAGGATAACCGTGTACACTTCTTATCAACAAATCTACTTTTAACTTAATATCTGTTAATTTTATGTCTGTATGTACGCTAAAATATCGTAAAAACGTTGACAGAGTAACTTTCATTGACAACATGGCATATTTGGATCCTGTATGGTTTCAAATTAAATACAATAGTATTAGAATTTATTGGTGGATTATACAACATGATGATTTTTCAAATTATTATTATACCTATGCAACTCCTTGGACCACCACTAAAAGCAATGAAGCTATATTTATGACGTTTAGCGACATTTTCTGGGCTGAAGTTTTCGGGATTAAAAGTCTGAGGATTTGGGTATAAATCAGGACTATGATGTGTTCCTATTGGGCTTATAACACACGTTGTTCCTTTTGGCAG